TGGAATGTTAATTGTGCGTGAATGTAAGCCTTTTGGCTGAACTGGCCATTGCCCCTTGTTACCGGTCGTCTCGAGCCAGAAGCGGACTCGGTCGGGCAATTAGGGACTTGGGTGAACGTTTCGGTATACTCGAGTATTACCTTGAAGTCTGGTGGAGCCTGGCCAATGTCCGGGAAGGGGGTGAATGAAATGAATGATTGCATGAATGATTGAGGGTTTTAATTACAAAAGAAAATGCATTTTCAAATGATTGGAGGAATAAGGGAATGAAAGGAGAATGAATGAATGAATGAAGGAATGAATGAATGGCTCCTTGTGAGATTGTATCCTTTTATTGAATGTGTTTATCGCTTTATCTAATATTTGTATCTTGAATTATTGGTTACATGTAATGAATGAAATGAACTTCTTGTTTGCCTATGTGTTCGGAACCTCACTGAGCTTATAGCTCACCCCGTTAGTTTTGTTTTCCTTAGCAGGGGAAGACGTGCGAGGACGGAAGCTAAGTATAGACTAGCCGAACTAGTACTTTTGAATCTTTTGTAGTGGTTCTCGCCCTAGTGCTTGGCACGGGTTGGTTGTATGGAATTGAGAACCTCTGTATATTTGACGGTTGTACTTCCTTTTAAAGATATCTATGTACATAAGTTTTGTTTTGATTGGATCGTTATCATGTTATTTTATGGTTATTCCGGTGGTTGCTTGAAGTGATCGACTGAGTCCCGGCGAGAGTTGGGCAGGCGGTTCGCCAAACCCTCTGGTTCGCCTTATGGGGAGGTGGGGTCGTCACATTAATACTTTACCATATAACCCCTTATGATTTTCAAAATATATACATAACTCCCCTTGGTTAATAAAAAATATTCAACTTTACACAAGAATATTTTGACATTTTAAATGATTCCATTATGAATGATCATTTCCGTTATTTTGACACTTTAATCCAAACCATGAGAGAGTTATGTATAGTTTTTAAAACCATAGGAGAGTTATGTAAAAAAGCACTAAACCACAGGGGTTAAAGTGAAATTTGCCCTTTTAAAAATTATATTTGAAAAAAATTCATCTAATGAAATGTGAGGAACATTTTTTTTCAAAAAAAAAAGTAATAAAGAACAAAAAATACCCAGCATTGATTTAGAAAAATTCGAGTAAAACTCCAGTCAGTTTTGGTGGAAAATGCATTCAAGTTTGTCAAAAGAAGCACTCTCTTCTTCGACGCTGAGAAGACCACTTCTTGTTGTTTTAGGTGCAATAATTGAGATAGCAAAGCCGCTCTAATGTAACAATTGAGAATTTGTCTACAATTGTTATTGCTAATATTTTAGGTGGAAATGCTAGTTGTACTCTACCTACCTTTGTTTTCAGCTTTTTATGTAAATACCAAGGATTAGACCTTTTGAGCATCCCAAGGCCCCAGCATTAGCGTAAACTAAGTAGCCTCTGTAACCATAATTAACTAAAATCAAGCAAGATTCGATGAAGAAGCAAGTGGCTTCATAATTCATACCAAGTAAGAAAATTTTTTTGTTTATGTAGCAACATGTCTTTCTTAATATCCAAGAGAAAACTATTGATTTAGCTTTGTGTATAATTAAGCAAGTGGCATCATAATTCATACCAAGTAAGGGGGAAAAAAAAGAAGAAAAAGAAACTTTGACCAAAACTTCGACCCTTTTCTTTTGTATCTTCGTCCAATTTTTCTCTACTCTCTGAGCAGAAAGAATTGGTATTTGCTTACTAATTTCAGGTTAGAAAAGCACAACAGCAACACCAACTATTGATTTAGCTCTGTGAATAATTAATTGACTAAACAAAGGTGTCATGCCATTTTCCAGTTAGCCTTATCATCTGCTCTATGGTGTCCTGAGTTGTGAGTGGTTTTGTATTGCATAGATAAATTATTTTCCAAAGATATCTACATTCTGTGCGTGCACAATATGATGTTTTGATGATGTATTAAGTTCCAATCAAACAAGAATACACTGAACTTGACTGAAGATAATAAGTAGTATTTATAATATTTTAAAATAGGTAAATTAGACATTTCACTCTAATAAATAAGAAAAATCTAAGAGAAATGCATGCAATAAAAATCATTAAAAATATGTAAAATCAAGCCAGCTTAAAGAGTCGAGTATCTCTACATTCGGCATACTCACCTCGACTGCCGAGTCAAACTTTGGGCGATTTGTTCGCAGCTATACGAAATTATCCTTAGGATTTCCCATGAGGACTTCTACTTGTCAAGAGCAAGTCCGAGCTACTAAGCCCTTCCATGCTGCAAAACTCATCCGGATCATTTCACAGGAACAAAATTGGCTGATCATAAAACCTCATTCGATAATTTCTTTAGCCTTTTTTTTTTCTGGACGCACTTGTTGGCGCAGGTGCAATAATTGAGATGGCCAAGCCGCCCTAATATTATAACAATCAAGAGTTTTTTCAGCAACCCAAGGGGCCTGGTCTGGCGTGGCATCAGCGTGAACTGAAGCCTCCAGCTGTAACAATAATTATTTATTTCTAATTTCATTTTATTTTGTTGAGTGCATTTTGATTTGTGTTTGAGTTTGAGTTGATCGTTGAAGGATTGTTTTTGCTAACACCATGAGATCAAGCAATAACAATCCAAGTAAAACGCCAACCAACTTCGGTGGAAAATGTATTCAAGTTTGTGAAGAGAAGCAATCTTCTTCTACGCTGAGAATACCACTTCTTATTGCAGATGCAATAATTTCTTTACATTTTTTCTGTGCACACTTGTTATATTTTAGGTGCAATAATTGATATAGCCATGCACTTCTGTAATTTTTCAACTGGTGTAATAATATTCTATGTGGAAATGCCAGCAGTTGTACTTGTCCCTACCATTTTTTCCAGTATTTTTTTACATTTGAAAATCCTTGGATTCCTTGTTGAAATAATACATCATGGCAACCTCCTTTGATACTCTCTGTCTCCGCTGGCCTAAGCTTGTGATTTGTTGCTGTGAATATGGGGCCTTCAAACTGTCAATAATTATGTTAGCAACTACCAAAAAAAAAAAAGAATTTTATTCGTGATGCTAATTTTCCTCAATTAGCAATTCTTAGCACAAATATAAGGAAAGGGTGTCAAGTTTTCATTACCAAATCTATTGTTTGATAAGCATTTACGACCAATAGCTTCACATTATGATAGAATGGTGCTTTACAGGGGATACATTTTCTTTCTAAATTGAAGAAGAAATTATCATCATCATACTGCATTTTAGTTGATGGAATTACCATATTTTGGTAGTCGTTTTGAGCATTTCTTTTTGAGCTGGTGTTCCTTTTGATTGAAAAAAAAATATTGACAAATAAAAATTGGATGGCATTCAAAGTTGTTAAAAAAAGTCACCAATTCAACATTTGGAGTCGGTGATTATAGCTTTCTATGGGTTCACTAGCAAAAATACAAAAAAAAAAAAAGGAATAAGAAGAGAAAAGGAAAAGAAAAAGAAAAAACAATTATAAATCCCATTCTTTGTATATGCACACCCAATATGGGAGTTTTATTAAAATGTTAACATTAGTATTGTCGTTTTATGTTGATAAGGAAGGTAAGTGTCAGTTTTAAAACGTTGAAGCAGTGCAATAAAATTGTCAAAAACCTCAAGGGAGGTTTGTGAAACTATCTCCCTATTTTAAAATGGATAAATTGAACATTTCACTTTAATAAATGTAAAAAAAAAAGAAATATTAGAGGAATGCACGAAATAAAAATTATTAAAAATATTTAAAATGGAGCTGACTTGACTAGCCGAGCATCTTTACACTCAGTAGACTTTTACTTGCGAAGAGCAAGCCCTTGCAATGCTACTGATACCTTCCATGCTGCAAAACTCATCCTGATCCGAACACTCAGTACTCTCATCGTTTCACAGACCGTGAAACCTCAATAATTTCTTTAGATTTTTTATCTGGACACACTTGTTGGTGGTGCAGGTGCAATAATTGAGAAGGCCAAGCCGCCCTAATATTATAACAATTAAGAGTTGAGAGGCAAAAGTGACTACTTTTCTCAGTTCTATATATATACTACTTTTCTAGTCGCAATGTTGTTTGTCAGCTAATCAATGTCGCAACAGCACTGCAGATTTATTTATTTATTTATTTTTCCACAATCAAAGGCCCACCATTCAAGTACAAAAGGAGCAAGCAATTCAAAAAAAAAAAAAAAGAAAAAGAAACAGAAGAAAAGCCCAGCATTGATTAAGAAACTTTCAAGTGAAACGCCAGGTAACTTCGGTGGAAAATCCATTGGATAATTTGTTTAGGAATTTTCTGTATACACTTGTTGAGACACGAACCTGACCCATCCATTTCTATATAAATATATATATTATTCATTTATATATATATTTTACCCCTCATTTACCTCCAATGTTAATAATTTCAAGATTCTGAGTGACATTATCGTTTTTTATTCCAAAACTAACCCCAACTGAAATAGGCATAAAGAAACATTCATTCTAAGTAATTAGAAGAGTATTGGCTCCCATGATTTCAAATAGTTATGTACTTCAAAGTTGTCCAAAAATAGATAATGAAATACTACCTTCCATTAACAAAAAAACTAAATTAACAAAAAAAGTTTCATACCAAACTGTACAAAAGAGATTGTTTAAGGAACAAATTTCAGCAACTCAAAAGTCAACAGCGTCATTTTTCAGCTTGTTTCTCTGTTTTTAGCTTGACAAATAGGTTACTTTATCCGTCAATCTCCCTATTCTTTTTTTTTTCTTTTTTGTTTTTAACATCACATGAGTTTATATTATTAAGGCACCAAAATTCTCACCCAATGGACATGGTAGTCTATACAGATAATATGTAGGTGCAGGTGAAATAATTGAGATGGCAAAGCCGCCCTAATATTCATATAATAACAATGGAGAATTGAGACACAAACACTTCAGTATCTTTTCTACTAGTGCTATTGTTAATATTTTAGACGGAAATGTCAATTCTACTGTACCTACTATTGTTAATAACTTTTCTACTGTAACTTTGACCAAGGCCTCTACCCTTCTGTCCATCTCCATCTTTATAATCTGATAGCCAAAAGCATCCTAGCAAGCTACATACATACAAGGAAATCACCAATCTGATATCAACAAAACATCCTAGCAATTAAGCTCCATACAAGGAAAGGAAAAATGGCTGACGCTGTCATTAGTGCCACTATTCAGGTTGCCTTGGAGACGGCAGTATCTCTTGCCACTGATAGGATTGGTATGTTAGTTGGGTTCAAGAAGGATGTGGCCAGCATGACACGATCTCTTCGCTTTATCAATGCTCTCTTGGCTGATGCTGAGGAAAGGCAACAAAACCAGGACCGGGGAGTGCAAGAATGGTTGAAGAGTCTGGAGGAAGTGGCTTATGATGCTGGCAATGTGTTGGATGAGCTCAACTATGAATCTCTTCGTCACCAGGTGGAGTCCCGAAACCAGCACAAGCGAAAGGTATGCTGCTTCTTCTCCTTCTCTAACACTAATCTTGCTTTCCGTTGGAGAATGGCTTCTAAGGTCAGGGGCATCAAACTTAAGCTGAATGAGATCAATCAAGAAGCCAGTGATTTGGGACTGTTCGAGAGGGCAGTCATGACAGCTGCCCTCCCTGCTGCTGCTGATGCTGGAGACAAAAGAAATCGGCAGACCGACTCTGTTGTTGCTCCAATGATTGGAAGAGCCGATGATGAATCAAAGATAGTCAAGATGCTGTTGAGCCCATCCGAGAAGGTTGTTTCTTGTCTTCCCATAACTGGTATGGGAGGTCTAGGCAAAACAACTTTGGCTAAATCGATATACAACAACAAGCAAATTGATGAGCACTTTAACAAAAAAATTTGGGTTTGTGTATCAAAAAAAGCTCCGATACTGGATCTTTTCAAACTCATTTTATTGCAATTGACCGAAAAAAAGGTTGAAGTGGAAGAAAAGGTTGAAGTGGAAGATAGGAATGTCATCGTTGGAAAAATTGGGAATCAACTTGGGGGAAAAAGATATTTCCTAGTTCTTGATGATGTGTGGGATGATGATCAGGCATTGTGGGATGACTTTTTCACCACCTTGAGGGGACTCAATCCAACCAATGGAAGCTGGTGTCTTGTCACTACTCGTATTGGTCAGGTGGCAGATATTGTGTCTGGAGCTTTGATGATGGATGATGAAGCCTATGCCTTAGGAAGGCTACCTGATAATCTTTGCTGGTCTATCCTAAAAGAAAAAGTAGTTGGAGGGGGAGAAGTACCTTATGAACTAAAAGCAATTAAAGAGAGAATAATCAAAAGATGTGATGGTCTACCATTGGCTGCAAGTGTAATCGGAGGTCTGTTACGTTTAAAGAGAAAAGAGGAGTGGCAATCAATTTTGGAGAATAGGCTCTTTAGGCTTAGTGGAGATGAAGATCCTGTCATGCAAATACTTAAGTTGAGTTTTGATAATTTGCCATCTCCAAACATTAAGAAATGTTTTGCATATTGTTCTATTTTTCCCAAGGATACTGAGATGGAAGGAGATATGCTCATCGAACTTTGGATGGCAGAAGGTTTCCTCCAAGGAGATCTCAACAGCCAAATGATGATGGAGGAAATTGGAATGAATTATTTGAGAATTTTATTGCAGAGTTCGTTGTTGGAAGAAATAATAGATGAGTCAGAAACATCAGCATCTTATAAGATGCATGATCTAGTGCACGACCTTGTAGAGTTAATATCAAAGTCTACCAAAGTCTTTAATAGTGGGGATGCTCAGATAATAGACAATGGTAATCAGATTCGTTACCTTGCAACAGACTCATTTGGTGGTGGAGAAGACAGAGAAAAACTTTTGGAGAGTCTATCAACTTCGCTTCATACATTATTCATCGTAAATGGTTACTTATCTGGTGATATGTTAATGAAGTTGAAGAACTTGTATGTTTTGAATTTGTCTCGTACAAGAACTCGAGAGCTACCAGTCTCAATTGGCAAACTGATACATTTGCGGTATGTAAACCTTGAGTGGTCTGAAATCAGTATTTTGCCAAACTCTCTTTGCAAGCTTTATAATCTGCAGACATTGGCGCTAAGTGGCTCAAATGTTAAAGATCTTCCGAAGGGAACGTGCGATTTGATTAGCTTGAGACATCTCCACTATTACAAAAGTGATAAAGAATTTCAAATGCCGCTAGAGATGGGACAACTGACTTGCCTTCAGACGCTAGAGTTCTTTAACGTGGGTCGAGAGAAGGGTCGACGAATTGGAGAGCTTGGAAGCTTGAAGAACCTCAAAGGCAAATTGAGGATACGCAATCTGGAACTAGTAAAGGATAAGGAAGGAGCCGAGGAAGCAAAACTATCTGAAAAGGCAAATCTATTTAGGCTGTATCTTGAGTGGGCCCCTGATCGAGAAGGCGACGACTACAATGACGAAGATGTGTTAGATGGCCTTCGACCCCATCCAAAATTGGAGGAGTTGGTAATTTGGAATTTTATGGGCGATCAATTTCCTCGATGGTTAATGGATTTGCCAACAACAACAACGCTCCCCGAGTCAGCAACAGCACTCCCCAAGTTAGCGAGTTTGGCATTTAATTTCTGCAACAGATGCAGAGAACTCCTTCCCCTGCAAAACTTTACGTCTCTTAAAGAGCTGGAGATTTATCGTTGCAGTGGGTTGACGACTCTGCCAGGTGACATGCTACACTCTTGTGCCTCTCTCCAGAAGCTTTGGGTGTCTCATTGCGACAATCTTATCTCCTTTCCGCTTGATTTGCAACAAACGCCTTCTCTCTTGGAGCTGGAATTATACTGCTGTCCCAAACTGAAAACAAGCATGACGCCCAAAGGATTTGGTTTCCTAACCAGCTTAAGGGAGCTTGCAATTGGTCCCTTCTCAGATGATGATGGTGATGATCATGAAAATTCTTCAATTTACAATGAGTTTGATTGGTCTGGATTGATATCCTCCTCCTCCTCCTCTTCGTCATCCGCACTCCATGAATTAGAATTATATGGGTTGCCACACATGGAGTCCCTGCCACCTCAGATCCAATACTTGACCACTCTGACGTCACTAATGCTACGTGATTTTGGAGGTGTAAAAGCTCTGCCAGATTGGTTCGGAAACTCCGCTGCTCTTGAAGAGCTTTATTTAATTGGTTTCAAAGAGCTTCGACATCTGCCCTCTGAGGATGCCATGAGAAGTCTCACCAAACTAAAAAAGCTACGGGTCATTGGTTCTCCTCTGTTAAAAGAAAGATGCACTCCTGAGAGCAGCGGCCCCGACTCCCAGTGGTCCAAAGTTTCTCACATTCAAGACCTAGGCATACGTTGATTAATAACCAACTTTCATCTTCGGATCAAATTCAATCATGTAAGATTGCCTTCAATAACCACTTTCCTAATTTGCTTTGCAATCAATCTCCCCTCCTCTTCACCTCCCCCTCTGATTAACCTTCTCGCGAGAAAACCTAAAAAAGTCTCCCCTATGGTTATTTTCACAATTTTCTCTTCTCCCTTTTTATCGTCCTATTTATTATCTTTCAAAGCTGCAGCATTAGCATTTCTTATTAGGTCCAAAATATTGGTGCTCTTCATTTACTCCTTACAACATAATAGTAATACTCTTGTAACTATCAATTAGAATGACCCCAAGCACCTGTTCTGTTTCGTGCTTTGAAGTTTTACTGTATCTCTGTTCATATTCTGTTCTATGCTTTGTTTTTGTAGGAGTGATAGAAGAATAGCTTCACGAACAGAGGTTAGAATTTTGAAGCTTCTTCACACCATACCTTTTCGACAGAAATGACCTATCAACGTTCAGAACAACTAGCAGTAATTGCTCATTCAATTGCGAACCCAGTATCTTGGACAGAAATGTTTATGATGGCCCTCTTTTCTTTCATATTGCTGCCTCAAATAGCCAAATGTCCTTATTGTCGAAGCTTGCACACTGTCAATCTGCCATTTCAGTCACGAGGTCTAGCAATAAGAATTTGGTACCTGAGACTCAGCAGAAAGATTTTGTATCTGCTATTTAGGTTTGAAATCAATGACAATATCTCTTTTTCTTAAGCTTTCTGCAAGATTTGTTGAACAGAAATGTCCTGCAATTACCCGAATTTTCTAGCTAGCTTTATGATTTTCTATACACTGTCTTGAGTTTTGAGTATTCTATTTTGCAGTGGTGTTATGCTCAGAGCTCACGGGAGACCTCAATGGCTTAATTACTGCCATACGTATCAATATCCCATTATTCCTTCTTCAACCACATCATTTTCATACTGGAGACAAACTTATAGAATGGCACTCTCTTTTGCTTCTAAGTGACTGAGATGCCTTCAACCTGTTGGTCATGACATTAGGTAGTAATTCATCAATTATGGACCTCATTTGCTATTCTGTCTCATACTGCTTGCCTCTCAAATTAGCTGCAATTTAGTTGCCGAAAATTGTCAGTCTGTCTTTATGACTGCTTATTGTCTGTTAGTTGGCCTCTGCAAGCTACTCACCACCCTTCTTGAAGTTGTATCTTAGCTCCATTAGATACAACATGATTTTATGAGCTTGCCTGTTCTCTTTTTGCAGTTAAAAATCGTATGTCTAGAATGATGCTCTTACTTTAAGATTCATAGTTATTCCAAAATTACGGGGTCTATATGATGTTGAGTAAATCTTATGTTGGTAGTCGCTTGACCAAAAATGAAGAATTGCATGAAGTTGTTCTTTTCAATTTTGTCTGGCGTCTTTCTTAGGTTTCTGTATCTTGATTGAAAGTTATAGGTACTCCATAAACATTACCATAAATAGGTGATGGTTACATGTCTTCAATGGAAGCTTGACTTAATATCTTGTTTGTGTATGAATAACCAAAGGCACAAGATTTTCTTGGGTGACCAAAGCAAGTTCTGCATAAAAGAGAAGTGAAACAAATTAACTAATCAAGTAACAATGTAAAAGATTATTTCTAAGATTAGCTCTCGCTTTAAACTCACGATTTGCATCAGGATGAAATGAGTTCTCTGCACTTTTGTCCGTGGAAAATGCATTTGCATTTTATATTCATAGCATCTGCAGAAAATTTGTGAAACATTTTCTATATGTCTTTAGATCAGCAATGCTGATGAGTGATGACACTCCTTTCTTCAAAACTTTCCAAGCTGATTTTTGTGGTCTCTTGCTTAGACAAACAGAGGTTAGAATTTTGAAGCTTCTTCAGTAACATCTATATGGCTGGAACTCAATAACTTTTGGCCCGCATTTCCTACAAATATCCTATTAATGTTTAAAACAACTAGCAGTCTAGTTTTGTTTATTTTAAATGTCTGTTTCTATGGATTTTAATTTATTATTGCTAAAGTCAGCTCACTCTATTTAAAATTGTGATTCTAAGGGGATGAAATGGTTTCTCTGAACTTTGACCTCTTGATAATGAACTCGCTAACTTATCTGAACTATTTGTTTAGTAATTGCTCTGTCAGAGTCATATATGACGGTTGTCTGACTCACTTTTCCTGCATTTTGACTTTTTGACTTTTGAGCCATGAAGACAATGGTCAATTGAGGAGTTTTCGTAGCTGTTGGTCATCATTTTCATGTTTTGGTTCAAAAATTCTGGTAATTTTAGATATGCTTCTCTTCTTTCACTACTCCATTTTGACTTTTAACCACTTTAATATGTAATATATCACATATAAAACAAAAGAAATCTTGCACAAAACTTGGTGGAGTATCTTCCAACATTCTTGTCTAAGTGGAATATTTTGAAGCATTCCGGTAGTTGGTCAAGTCTGTTTGTTGCGACTTTCAGCTCTTAATGAATCCACCTTGATAAAGGCTCTTAAGCTCTCTCTGCTTTTATGATTGTTGGTTGCTTCCTTTTTTATGGTAGGTTTCTCCTTCTGGGGCTTCAGTTACAATGATAGAAAACCTGCAATTATTTGAAAATTTCCATTAGCTTTATTCTGTCCTGAAAGTCGTCTTGAGTTTGAGTTTTTGTGCTTTGCTGTGATTTTAGCACAAAGCTTAACAGGGAACCTAATCGATGGCTCTTACTGTCTTTACTTTTTGAAAGTCCTGCAATTCCTTGCTGAACAAGATCCTGCTTCAGTTGAATAGTGACATCTAGGATGGCATTCGCTTTCGCTCTGTGCCTCAGATGGCCAAAGTCTGAGATATCCATTGGGGTAGGTTCTTTTAAACTGTCCAAACCATTCAGTGATATTTAGTCAGGATAATGAGGGGCTGATGTACATGTTTTAGGATTCAAATTGTCATCTGTGGCATACTGCTCACAGTTAGAAGTTAGAACTAACTAGTGCTTTGGTAGCAGTTAAATGTGGATCCCCATAGCTCTACTGTTCCTCAGCGGCCCATAGCTCTACTGTTCCTCAATGCCTCAATGTAAAATGCAAATTGCCTATCATTATTTTCAAGCTTATGATTGTGCTTACTTGCTTTGTGGTTGGAACCAAACCACTGTAATTGTAAACACGACTCAGTACTTGCTTATCCATTTAGTTTCATAACAAACAAGACATATTTTAGCCTTATGTAAGAATGACAGAACAAAACTATTGTCGAATTTTCTGAACTTTCTGATTAGCTTTCTTGTTCACATATTGTCTCAGCTCGAGTTTTCTGCTCTGCAATGATCTCAGGCTTAAATGCCAACAGAAATCTACAATTGGACTTACTTACTGATTGAATTACACAGCTTGTAACTTTTGAAAACTTTGTTGAATCAAATCCTGTTTCAATTGGACAGAAATGATTAGGATGGCACGCTACAGGCACACTTTTCTTTCTTCCTAGTGCCTAAAACCTGATAAAATGCTCTATCTTTGTCAGCTGGCCTCTACAAACTGCTCACCTGAATTTCTTTCCCCAACTTATGTAATGTCTTTCAAGATCAAGAGCCATCATTACCGTGAATTTCTGCTGATGATCATGGGGGTTTGGTTGGCGGTAGAGCTTGTATTAGAGAAACAGATTGACAATGAGAAGCTTGCAAATTTTCAAGAAGTACTGTAACGTTAGGGAATTTGTTTTAAATGGATTAGTAGATGTACTTATTATCAAGTTTTATTTCCTGCTCATTAGTTTTAGATCAAAGGCAACAAAAAGAAACCCTTTCTCTCTGTAAGATTCCTAGCTCAAAAATGACATGAAATTTGCTCTTCTATCTTTATTGTAATGCAGGCAAACATGCCTTCCTGAGATTTTCAATCTAAAAGCTCCTCAGCCAACTAAGTACTCTAAAAGTTCATTTGGTTATCAATTTGCTAGAAAAGAATGATAATGCGTTTACATTCATGAAATAGATTGTCAAAATCAAAGTTTGATGGAACACAGAAAATTATAGAGAGGCAATGACGGACAAAGATTTTAGGAGTCAATTTCTAATTTTTTGTTTCTTCAGGACAACGTACTCCAGTAAAATCATTACTAAATTCTTTTAAATCTATCCAATATCAGGTGATAAATATTGTATGGTAAGATGATTTTGTTGCAAAATATCTGAAGTTTTAAAACGTCTGTTTCCAAGATGTTGTCTAGTAATGTAACACTAAGGACTGAAGAATTATCATTTTGCAAGTTGATTGCAGGTTGCAATTAGAGATCTCAATCATTAATTGTACTACCTTATAAGCTGTGAATTATGGAAGTAAATTAGCAATTTTAGAACTTTAGTTTGTCAAAGCTGAAAACTCAACAGATGTTCGAGAGCAAGTTATTTGATGTGGAGTGTGGACAGTTTAACACGATGCCAAAGCTGAAAAACTTTTTGTATTTACATCTACGGTACAAAATTCTTTTTTTTTAAGTAAAAACTAGCAGTTTACTTTTGCTCATCTCATATGTCTGCTACTTCCAGTTTACTTTTGTATTTCCATCATGTCTGCTCTGATCTCTTTTAAATATATTTATCATCTTGCTCCAAATTATCTGATAATTGGTATTCTTATTATGTCTCTTAAATGATGGGATTCGACATAATTGCTCCAATATATTTATCATCTTTCTTTAGCTATGATCTCTTGACCTAAATCCGATGGTCAATCGAGTTACTCTCACTGCCTTTGGTTGTGAAATTGGTGGTCTGATAATTTATAATACCAACAATCTTCTTCCATTACTTAATGTTGGGTTAAGATGTTAAGATGTTTTTCAAGCGGTAGAGAGTTGGTAGACCATCCTCTACTGAAGTTGTCATATGAGATTTTAAGAGTAAAATAGTTGTAATTAGCTCTGCCTGTTGCATCTTGCAGTCTCAAAGAGATCGCCTTCATGGCAATTCTGAGGCTCTCTTCCTTTCATGCTTCTGTTGCCACTCATTGTCATTATTGTTATAGAACTCCTCCTTTTTCAGTGTTTTGAACAAAAACTAATATAGTTTCTATGATACTTCTGGTACTTGTAGACTGACCAGAAAGATTTGATATCTTCTTGTTGATTTAGGTTAGAAAAGAACAACAAGAACAAATATTGATTTAGCTTTCTGAATAATTGACTAAACAAGAATGTCATGCAATTTCCAGTTTTCTGTTTTGAAGTGACTAGGAGTTTTGTTCTGTTGATTTTATATATCTGCTTTTGTGGATGTAAGATGTGATTGCTAAAGTGATCAGCTCCCTAGCTTATGATTCTAGAGGGAGTAAATAGTGGCTCCAAAGTTTAATGGCCCCTTGAAGGCGCATTTATCAAGCTTCTTGAACCATTTGATTAGTGATTTGTTCGATAAGTCTTGTAAATGATGGGTTTCTGTCTCACTTTTAGTGATTTCAGGAGTTTCCAGAGCGGTTAGTCATCAAATTGGTTTTTGGTTATAAGAATCCAGTAAGTTCAGATATACTACTCTTCTTTTACTACACAATTTTGACTTTTAAATACTTTGATTCTGAATATATTACAACTAAAACTTGAGAAATCTTCTTGTAATGGAAGATGTTTTTTGGAGCAGCCATGGAAGATGTTTTTTCAGAGCATCTTCTAACACAATCAAGTCTAAGCTGCAAGTTTTGAAGCATATCGCTGTGGTTAGTCGAGACTGCCAAGCATGCTTGTTGGCTGCAATTATTTCATCCGCTGTGATGATGGCTATTAAGCTCATTCTACCACCTATACTTGTTGATATTGCTCATCTCTTCATGGTAAGTTCTTATTTTAGTGTTTCAAATACAACAACAATGTCATGCAACTATGTGCTGGCTTTATTCTTGACTACATGCTGTCTTGAGTTTCTTAAGTTTGAGTTTTTGTGTTTTGCAGTGATTTTACACTCGAAGATCAACATTAACCATGATAGCTCGCTCTTACTATCATTTGTAATGAAGTCCTGTGATCCCTTGTTGAACCAGATCCTGATTCAGTCAGATCAGATGAAAACATCCGGGATGGAATTCCCTTTTGCTCTCTGCCTCAGATGGCCAAAGCCTGAGATCTTCCTTGTCGGCTGGTGATTTTAAACTGTCCAACCGATTCAGCAATTTGTAGACATGTTAATGAGGTGTTCTTTTACTTCTTTTGGAACTCAATTTGCCATATCTTCCGTGCTGCTTGTAGTTTTGCAGCCGAAAGATGTGGATTAGCTGAACCCTGCTAGATAACTTGCATCCTTCTTGAAAGTTGTATCTTAGCTCTATAACAGGCAACGTATTTTTTCTCAAGTGTTCCGCAGTTGACTACAGGTTGTGGCCGATGGTACTTTTCCATTGCTCCTTGCATCTGTAAAGCTCAGACAGGACTCAGAGCACAAGAATCAGTCAGCTTGAGCCCTTGTATTTATGTTAAATCAGAGGGCAATTTAGAAAACTGAATTGCTAAGGCACCAATTTCTATTCAAGAAAGGAGCCCACTTGGTGGATGGGAACGTTGGAGAGATGAAATTATGGAAATCAATTGAACAGGATTATATAGGAACTTATAAGGTCAACCTTAGTTCGTCAAACTGACATTTCACATAGCATCTATTTGTAAAATTACTTCTATGTGAACTTGTCTCCTTGAAGCACTAATGTGACATGGATCTTACACATCTTGGCCTCAAATCATTTTCATTGTAGCTCAGGATATGTTACAATTAAAGCATTTCTACTTTTCTATGCCTCTAAGACTTTGACGGCCAATATAAGTAAATCATCTCATAGCTGTATCAGTACGGAATGTAGTAGTAGTAATAGTAATTAGTTACCTAAAAATAATAAAAACTTTCAGATGAACTTATTTCTACCCAAAAGGGAAGGGATTAGTGCTGTCTTCGCCATCCACTTTACGGAGTTGTCCCCGCCGATTAGTGCTGCTCTCAGAAGTCCCTCTCCTCTCTCTGATTCTAAGCAATTCCTTTTTCCCTTCTTCTTTCTTTTTTTTTTTTTTTGTTCTTATTAAATTTTCGAGCAATGTGACTGGTTTCAGCAGTTTCTACCTAGTTCTTGAACCGCATTCGAAAGAAATTTTCCAGCCTATCTCCGGTAGTAATGAACATTACTTTTAATGAAGTGGTCTTGAAATCACAAAGATTGCAGCTCCGACCTCCTTGGTCGGCCTTGTATTGGAAGTTTCATGGCTATTGCCTGTTCTTCTGTGACGTTGTAGCTGGCTCTGAATTAGTTTATAATGCAAATTTTGGTCCACACTGATCATATTGCTGTGCCTTCTTTTGGATGTGTAGTCCCCCCTTTCATTGCTATTGCTTGACTGCAGTGATTGTTGTCATTTCTCAAACCTCAGATATTTGGCTATTTGTGTTGAATGTCGTTATGTTGGACTAAAGCTACTTTCAAGCCTCCTTGTTGATGCCCTTCTTGAAGGGTATGTGGCTGATTATGATTAGTTGATCATCTTTATAATCTCTCTGTCTCTTTGGCACTTTGGAATGGCTCTGCTCTTCACTCTTCGCTATCTTCTCTGTTAATTAATGAAACTAACAGCAACTTCCTGAATAAATCGTAAAGATAAACTCAGGTTTGTATGGCATTAATCACAGCTTATCATGCCTTATTTGTTGGATTCACTGTTTCATTTGAGGCATATTGACGTCTTGTGTCAAATAACCAAACATACAAGATTTTCTGAAGCAATCAAGAATTATCATATCTGATTCATCTGATTCTTATTAGTCCATGTTCCAGTCCTGTTGCCTTCATCATATTTCTGCTCCTTACGCTAGTGGATTCTGTGGATTGAAATGGTAGCCATTTTGGATTCAGGCATTACATGCAGCCAGTAGTACATTCATTCGTCTCAAATTAGCATCTCAATTCATTTTTTTATGCGGATTCAGATCAGCAACTCTTGCTGCCATATGTATAGCTGGAATTGAACATCTTGTTGCTTTGCTTGTGCTACAATTGCCAATTCCTAAAGGCCTCTCGGAGAAAAAGTTGAGTTTTATTGCTGATTTGCCAGAAAAGGGAAGATGATGAGTTTATATAAAAGAAATGAAGCTTTATTCCAAAGTATGTCTAAGCACAGAAAATTGTTTCAGCTTTAAGCAATAGAATCATTGCTTCTACTTTCAGATTCTCAAGGATCTGACCATTTTACTGAGTGAATATTCAACTGCTATGTACTTTCCTTGGGCCAAAATCAAATCGATTGCCATTGCTTTTTTCTTGTCAGTTAGTCCGATTCTTAGTCGGACCTCTTTTTTTTCAATAAATAAATATAAAAGTATACCGTGTTTTACCATGGTGATAATTAGAGTCGAAATCATTCAAACTTTTTCTTTCAAAAACAAAAAATATTTGTCTCCGACCTAGAAATAATATAGAAAGTTTGAGATGGGTAGAACATGGACTATATATCAGAATGTAACACAGTTAGTGCTGAAAGGAAGAACTTTGACCACTAACAAAGAAATTTTATTAAAGTCACCGTCAATTATTTGGCAAGTACAATCGTTAGCACATGAAATTAATTAAACAAACAAGGAGTTCATAATCTTATTTGGATTGTATATGAAATTAATTGATTTCACAATCTTATTTAGAATATTTTCATTAGTCAAAAACTGACCATTAATTGATCCGATAAAAATTCTTGTTCTGGCACTTGAGGGAACCAAACAAAATAAGATGCGTGTTCTAATTCTAATTCTTGAGGATTAGTAATTAAGACCAAATTATGATTCAAGTTGGGAGGGTTGGATGTGGGTGATAAGGTAGGAGGTGTTGTAAGTAGGGATGTACGCGAGCCGAGCTCGGTCAACGACTTGGCTCGAACTCGGGTTGACCAAGTTCGAGCCGAGTTTCGAGTAGCTCGATAGGCGTTCGAGTCGAGTTTCGAGTCTCAAATTTTTGGCTTGCGGCTTGTCGAGTAGCTCGTCGAGCCGGGCTATTTAAATAATATATTTATAATTTAAATAAAATATATGTATTATAATTATAAAATGACTATTATGGGTATAGGTTATACGGAATTTACAATATACTCTTCTTTATAATAAAATTTTATAAGGGTAAAAAAGTAATAACATAATTATAAAAATACCTAAAAAGAAAAAATGTCTAACATTTTTTGGTCGAGTCGAGTCAAAAAACTTGATTAGACTCGGCTTGATAAGGCTTGACTAAGGGTCGAGCCTTATCAAATTGAGTTTCGAGCTTAGAACGAGTACATCGAATCAAGTTTCGAGTATCAATTTTTTTGACTCGATCGAGCTCGAGTTGAGCTCGAGTATAGCACTACTCGAGCTTGACTCGACTCGATTACATCCCTAGTTGTAAGTAAGGGATCCTGAGTTCAATTTTATCCTTCATAAATGCAACAACCATTGAGATATTGTCCACAATCAAAATAGTTGAGAAAGTTAAAGTAAAAATGCCAATACAAAAGCATCCAAATTTGTCAAACAACCACAGCCATTTCAAAACATCCAAATAATATGTTTTAACTTTTAAGTAATCGATATGACAACACAAACAAGCGATGAAAGTAGAAAAAAAAAAAAGAAATCTGAGCATTGACCTTGGAAATTTTTTCAGTAAAAAACCAAGCAACTTCCCAACATTTAAATTTGTGCTTTAGTTAAACTAACTCCTCAAATTTTTCAACACTTAATTAAATCTTGCACATAAAACGTAAACAACACAGATTGAGTGTGAAGACTAATCATAAATAGGAGTTACGGTCTAAGATATGAGTTGTTAAATTCCTTCTTTCAAGTTTGATTGATGCGCTAGAAAACTTCCTAAAGTATGAGAGAATATTTAAACAATTTTCACAAGTTAAAATGCAAACAATTTCTGGCCAATTACGTGATGTATGAAATGATCACTTTGCGGTCACTTTGTGGTGTCTGAATTTTGACCAAATTCTTCAAGATTTTAAGCAAACAAAATATTACTCCAGTTATGCTGTTAGTCTAATTCCCAAGGATAGTTACTAAGGCCAATTTATTATTCTTTTCAAATTTATTTCTGGATTAACAGATGACATGATTAATGTTGCCCATGTCACCACCTGTGATTGTCATGCTTGAGATAGCGTCCAAGTTTGTCCAAGATGTAAGCCTCATGGATTGATTAAGAAAGGCCAAATAGTGAAATTGCCAAGCATCTTCTATGGCAATTAATAGCATCCAAGTTTGTCAAGGAATTATTATTATTTAGATGAAGTCAGTTCTATCCTTATCTCCCAAGAATTAGCAAATTAGATTAAAAAAAAAATGTTTGCCTGAGCTGCAATTATGATTGCCATTTTCCCTTTCCTTTTTCATCACAAGTCCTACATTATATACATAATATAATTCTGTATGGTATAATAGAACCAAACAAGAAGCAAAATAAGTAATACTAGGGAAATGGACAACACAAAGGACCCTAGATTCTGGCAAAAAATGGAGCATTTGATAAAGCCCAGTGCGGTGCATTGCAACAAGCGAAGATAGTGAAATGGTTTTATTTTATTTCTCAAGAACTAGAAAAATGGGATGAATAATGTAGCCAAAATCACAACATCATTGTCACTTTCCCTTTTTTTTTTTTCTTTTTAACATTCTAATTGTTAAGGACAATAATAATTTCTTGTGCTTCTTGGGTCAGACCATCATTCTTTCTAGATTTTTGGTACAATAGAATGCCCCAGCAGTTTAAGAGATGGCGCCTGAGCAAAGCATTAAGTAGGAAAGTTGAACTGGAAATTCCATGGAACTTTCATGTCATCAACGGATATATATAGTGTCATACACACCATGCAATTTAGGTACTGACACAATAGACGTGTATACACTAAGATATTAAATGGAGAAAAAAAATAACAATATACAAAAGCACAATAAATGTTTCATTCATTGAAAGTTTTGTGTGCTAATCAATTCTATTCATCCAATTCCAAATTTACCTAATCTAGGATATAGATTGCATGGTAATCAATTGCAAGAAGTAATTGCGCGTTGTCCATCTCAACTCGCCACACTTATCATTGTGATCACCTTCACCTTTGTATGCACTGTTTTCACCTTGTCACTATCATCATTAGACAAATATATGAAAAAAAAAATTGTTTATACTTATTTCACTCACTTTTTTTTTATTTTACCGGTCACCATTCTGTCTCGCATGCATTATATCAAATTACAAAAAATGTTACATTGTTAATCTAATTTTTTTTATTTAGCTAATCCTCTATCCATTTACACTTTTATTTGAGTAAAAGATACCGTATATTT